CAGCCTGAACTGGATAGCAAGACCCTGTCTCAAAAAGACCAAAAAAAAAAAAAATTCTATGTATAGCTGGGCGTGGTGGTGCACGCCTATAATCTCTGCACTCAGGAGGCTGAGTCAGGAAGATTGCTATAAATTCAAGGCCATCCTGGGCTCATAGTGTGTTCAAGGCCAACCTGAATATATAGAAAGACCCTGTCTCAAGAAACAAAACAAAATTCTATGTGTATATATGGGTTTACAGACATAATTTCTTTGTTTTCTTTTTTTTTTCCAGTACCAGGAATCAAACTCACGACCTTGCACTTGCCAGGCAGGCGCTGTGCCACTGAGCTAAATCCCCAGCACCAACCCCCCCCCCTTTTTTTTTCATTTTGATTTTTTTGAGATTATGCAGTTCAGGCTGGCCCTGAGCTCACTTTGTAGTCCAGGCTGGTCTCAAACTCACAACAATCCTCCTGCCTCAGCCTTCCGAGTGCTGGGATTACAGGCGTGCACCACCATGCCCAGCTAAATGCACAATTTCTATACATATAGTATATGTGTAAGTTTTACAAAAATGGGATTCTATTTACCATAGCTTGCTATTTTTGGTAGTACTGGGGACTGAACCCAGATGCTTCACATTGAGCTATATCCCCGGCCTTTTTAATTTTTTATTTTGAGACATGGTCTTGCTAAGTTGCTCAGGCTGGGCTCAAACTTGTGACCCTCCTTCCTCAGCCTCCCAGAGTATTGTGACTGCAGCTTTTTTTCGGGCTCTCTAAACAGGTACACAATCAGGCAGCCAGGACCAACGGCCAGAGGTTCCCAGGTGGCCACAATGACATTCTTTGACCCTAAGCCCTGTCTGTCTCCCATGCATAGGGGTTCCTGTTCCTCTCAAACTTACCTTGGGATCTCTGTATGAAAATACATATTCACCCCAGGTCCGGATCAGCGATTAGCCATGGGCCCATTCTCAGCAGTATGCAGGCAGCTCAGTGGGAGAGCGCTTGCCTAGCATGCGCTTAGTCCTAGGTTTGATCCCCGCTAACCCCCCCACCCCCTAAAAGAAAGGATTCAAACTCTGCTGTCTGTCATGATGTCTGTCACTGGCTTGCTTTCAGCCCACCCTCTTGGCCTGTCATTCAGTTCGAATGTCACCATCTTGGTGGCCACCCTGTCTGTCCCCATCAGTCACTCTCTTACAATACCCTTTTTCCCTTGCAGTTCTGGGGAACAAACGCATAGCTTTGCACATGTTAGGCAGATGCTCCACCAGTGAGCTACACCTCCAGCCTTACTGAATTAATAATTAAAAAATAAAACATAGCCAGGCGTGGTGGCGCATGCCTGTAATCCCAGCACTCGGGAGGCTGAGTAGGGGGATCATTGTGAGTTCTGAGCCCAGACTGGGCTACATAAGTGAGCTCAAGGTCAGCCTGAACTGCATAGTGAGACCCTGTCTCAAAAAAGACCAAAACAAACAAACAAACACACAAAAAATAAATAAAACAGAAGCCAGGTGTGGTGGTACACTCCTGTAATCCCAGCACTGTGGAGGCTGAGGCAGAAGGATCACTATGAGTTCAAGGCCAGCCTGGGCTACATAGTGAGTTCAAGGTGAGCCTACAAAGCAAGACCCTGTCTCAAAACAACAACAACAACAGAACAAACAAAACAGAAAAACACTGAATTAAGGGCTCAAGTCACTCAGCCCTAATCCTGAAATTGTGGCAGGATTTTGAGCAACTACCTGCCCTGTCATCAGCCTGCGGCTTCTGACTTTACCTGTAAACACAGGTCCACCCTCACCTGAGCCCCGGATTCACAGTGAATATAGCATTTCCCCGTCCATGACCTTACCTGAGTGCCCACAAGGCCAGGCTGGGCCCAGCCAAGATTATGATCCCCCTCTCACGGGGGAGACAGCCGGGGCTTGCAAAGCTGAGTTGTCTGGCCTGTGGTCACACAGCTGTGGTCGTGCAGGTCTTCTCTTCCTGTGGTGAGCTGAGTTTACAAAGCCCACAAGCCAAGCCCCATATATGGCTCATGGAAGTCGGGGTGGGGGGCGGCTGTGCCATGTAAGCTGCTATGGCAACACGAGGGCCAAGGCCAGATCTGGAGCAATCTTCGGGGAACTAAAGGAAGTAGGACACAATTCTTCTTGGGATGTGTAATATTTTGGGAATATAAAATGTATAATATTTTGAGGGGGTGGCACTGGGGATTGAACCGAGGGCCTTTCGGTGAGTTGTATCTCCAGCCATATACACACATATATATATTTTTTAAAGCAAAGGGGTCTTTTCTTTTCTTTTTGTCTTTTTGAGGCAAGGTCTCACTATGCAGTTCAGGCTGGTCTTGGACTCATTTTGTAGCCCAGGTTGGTTTCAAACTCACAATGATCCTCCTCCTGCCTCAGCCTCCCAAGTGCTGGGATTACAGACATGCTCGGTCTTTTACTTTCTCATTCATGCCTTATTCATCATTTTGAGTGCCTGCCTGGTTGACATAATTCCAAGCTGTTGCTACAGAAATGAAGTTGTTTCCCAGGGGACATGGAGGTCGAATCCTTGTTCTCCCACAAGCTCTGGTACCTGGAGCACTTCTCTGCCCCTGCCTGAGGGCAGTCACCTGGACCCTTTCCATCCTTTGGGGATGGATGTGTGGAGGGCCCTGTGGGGGCCTTCCCTCTCCTTCCCATGCCAGGGAAGCAGTTCTGGGACAGGGGAGCGCGGAGCTGGAGTGTGGACCACGGAGACCAGGTTGCTGAAGGTGGTGACTGTGCGTTCCAGGTAGTGTCCCTGTAGGTTCCAGCCCTTATATTTTTTTGTGACAGGGTCTATGTTGCCCAGGTTGGCCTCAAATTTACTATTCTCCAAATTTACTACTCTCAGCCTCCCCAGTAGCTGGGATTACTGTCTGGCACCACTAGACCTGGCTCCCTCCTGCATTGTTTTGTTGAGACAGGATCTCATTATGCAATTCAGGCTGGCCTTGAACTCACTATGTAGCTCAGCCTGGCATTGAACTCACTGCAATCCTCCTGCCTCAGCCTCCGGAGTACTGGGATTACAGGCATGCACCACTACACCTGGCTCCCTCCTGGGTTTTAATGACTCCTGGGTGGCCTTTAAGGCCAAGGTGCACCCTGGTAACAGGATCCTGAGTCCATGGCCATGATTTAATGGCAGCACCTGGACCTTGATTTTCTGGAGTTGCTTTCTGCAGGACACAGCAGGAGGGTGCACCCTGGGGCTGGTGAGGGGCTAAGAAGGCTGGCTGGGCTGCTGGAGCCTGCAGCCCCTTCCTAGGTGGACTGAGAGTCCATTCACAGTCTGGCCCAAGACAGTGGCCTTTCGGCTTTGCACATGTCCAGGGGCATGAGGCTGGCCCCATTTGGCTAGCTGGGGTCTCCAGGCCTTGGGTCATAGCTGAATCTCTGGCCTGGGGCTCTGTGGTCTTAGAGGATGTAGACTTTTCCCAAGTCCACCTTTTTCCTTGATAATTTAACCCCCAGACCCAGGTGACAGGCTGGGTACAAAAGATTTCAACCCATCTCATCACGTTTTCAGTTGTACCCCTGGTTGGACTGTAGGAGAGTCGGGCACTTTTCATCTTGACACTCTCAGCCACCTTTTGTAAAGCAGGAATTATCTCTATTTTCAAGAAATGGAGACACTGGGACTCAGGGAAGCACAAAATCGTACCGCCAAGGAGGGGGAGAGCGGGGCTGGAGCCTTGGTTGACCTGACTCCAAAACCCTTGTGCCTGATGACTAAGACCCTGTTCCTTTTCTTGGGAGGCAGGACAGACCCACTGCAACCAGCTCCTGCACTGGTCAGGGTGATCTCACCAGCGGGAGCCAGCAGGGCTGATTCATCACAGGAGTCAGGAGAGGCCCTGGGGAGGGGTCAGCGCCAGGGTCTGGAAGGGGCCCAGCAATGGGGGCAGGGACCGGCTTTCCAGAGCCAGATGTTAATGGGACGGAGCCCTGCTTCCCGAGGTCCTCAGGAGCTCAGCCCACTGCCACTCTAATCAGGGCTGAAGGGGCAGACCTGTGCCCTATAAGGGTGTGGAGAGGGAACCCCGAGTTTACACAGCCCATGAGGGGAACTGTACAGGGCCAGCTGGCTTCGAGGCTCAGTCTCATTACCGTCACCGCAGGGACACCTGGACTGATGGTGGCGGAGGGGCTGAGCCCCTGGGAGGCAGTGGGGGAGGGGATGGTGGCAGGAACTGGGGGGCTGGTGGCCGGGTGTTTTATTAGCGTGGAAGGCCAGGGTGAAGGAAGGTGGTGGCCCTGGGCGGCGGGGATGCTGGGGTCTGCAGGGTTTCAGGTGGGTCGTGGGGTGGGCTCAGAGAAGTCAGCGAGGGGGGCTTTCCGGTCCTTAGGCGTCGGGAGGAGGCAGGCTCGAGAGCAAGAGGGAGGTGCCGGGCCTCGGGGAGGAGGGATCGCGCGGAGCCGCGGGGTGGCGGTGGGGAGGGGCTCACGTGCCCGTCGTGGGTTGTCCCAGAGTTCTCCGAGGGGTTGGCCCTGGGGCAGGGGTGGTCCGGGATCAAGCCTGCGAGGGGCCATGGGTCGCAGGCCTTTCTGGGCCGGGGGCGGGGTG